GATTCCCAGATTCTCATTTTCAATAAGTAAGTAAGAAGTTGCAGCTCAGAGCAAGAGAAGTTACGACAGGGATGGAGACATCCTGGCCCTGTCTCTGCGGGAACCGGAAACACAGATCCAGGGGAAAGGACACAGATCAGTGTGAGGAGGGCGTCCTGGTTGGCAAGGGTGGGTGAGTCCCACCACATCCTCACATTATGATGATAGGAACGCAGGTACATTCAAAAACCAGGTGCAGCAACAGAAGCCTTGAATCACAAAGTGGGTGTGAACAAATCTTGTATCACTTCAGTCCCACACAAGTCACCGGTCTAACACTACAGAAAATAGTAAGTATAAACACACAACAAATTCATGTCAGTCACTCTAAGCCTTGACACTCTGAACATCCTACCAAACGATCAAAATGTCCAGATGAAAAGTATCCCCATAACCCAGTCATGTTCCCTCTGCCCCAACCCCTGCCCGTGTCAGGCCATCCAAGGTTTCACCGTTAGGCTGTGAGAGACACATCAGAGCCCTGGGCACTGTCGCTGCCTGCAGAAGAGCAAAAACATTACCTGGTCAGAGCCCACAGGAGGAGGTGAGACTAAATAAGGAAATATGAGGTGGGGGGGCTCTCCCACGGGGATCCATCTATACTATCCCAAGGGTCTCAGGATCAGCCACATCCCTCACTTACTTGCAGCCTGAGTGTAGCTCCTTCCCTTTTCACCTGTGGGAAGAAAACATCCTGTGAGAGAGCAGGGTGGAGCCAGGACCAGGAGGTCCTAGAAGAATCCACTAGTCATGGACCCCCCAGCAAGTTTCCAGAACTCTGACTGCAGACCCACAGAAGAACTAGGAACAAAAGCAAAGGAGATATGTGGGGTTGAACCAACCACTCTCCTAGAGATCTGTCCTGAGCAGGAACATTCCCTCTGATCTGCAACTGTGGGAATCAGGTCCCCAAAACAAAAACCATCTAATGTGAAAAACTTACCTTCACCTACACATGTGATTTACATGTCAGCACAAGGCCCCAGGCTGGGTAAGCGCATGTGTGTGTATGACACCTCCCAATAAAGAGGCAGAAGATGCGCAAACTCCTACTTGGGGATCGAAACCCTCCAGTTGGATAAGAAAACTCAGACCCTACTCCCATCTCTACCTGAGCTCTTCTTCCTCCAGATCACAACTGCAGCCACCACAGCTCCAACAAACAGCAGTCCAAAGACAACCAGGCCAGCAACAATTCCCATGATGGACTGAGGAGGTGGCTCTGGGAA